TACCGGACTTCTGAACTTCCCTTCCATAGAATGTTATTGGAAAAACGATCCACTACATTATCATCCACTCCTCCATAACATGAAAATGTCTTACAATCAATTTACTCTAATAGGTATTGAGATGTTGGCACTTTGCTAACAATGAAGATCATAACGTGGATGACAGTCTGTCCAAAATACAACCGCTAATAAATAATCTCATAAATAACTCGCGAAACATATACACTCCTGGTAGTGTATATATTCTTTGCTCCTCACGAAACAATCGCTGGGGATGAATCGATGGTCGGTTTCCGAGGAAGACTTTCATTTCGCACTTACAATCCACAAAAAAGCCTACAAATAGGGCATAAAAATATACAAGTTATGCTGTTCTAATGGATTTATATGAAGTTACTCTATATGTGACGGACGGTCGCACCAATTGCCTGGTTTAGACAAACCAGGTACAGTTGTGGTGTCTCTGGCTGAACTGTTATTGGATGGGGGCAGGATCCTTATCGCTGATAATTAATACACCAGTATACCTTTGGCAAGATATCTTAAGAAACGCAAAACTGATTTCTGCAGCACAGTCCGTAAAACAAGACGTGAACTTCCACCACAAGTAATTCAACAGAAACTTCAAAAAGGTGAAATAACTGCGCAACAAAACGAATGTGTGACTGTTTTAAAATGGCATGACAAACGCGATGTCCTGACTTTGTCAACGTCTCATACCCACTAGATGGAAGTGTCACATGATTTTCACCCAGTTTAGAAGACAAAAATGATACTAACTGTGGCTAATAAAGGCAAAAGGGGAATTGATATTGCTGACCTGCTCGCAAGCTATAATTCGCCTGTTCGAAAATCATGTATATGGTACAAAAAAATAGCGGCGGATCTTTTGGCTATATGCGTGGTCAACGACATTGTAATTTACAATTAATTACATCCATCAAAAGAAAAAATGGCATCATTTTTCATTAATGTATACTAACATTCATTAATGTATAATAAAAAAATACTTTCTCTAATCGTTAAGACACATCATCACAACATCACACGTATACCAAACAATGCCCGAGGAAAAGCACATTGAAAACGATGCGCTGGGTGCTATAAAAAACTTAATTGGAAACACGTAAATGAAGCAAGGAGAAAGACACCAAAGGTTGTTACCGAATGCATTGCTTGTAAAAAAGGCTTCTGCCTGCCGTGTTTCAGGGAATGCTACTAAAATATATATAAAATGTTTTGTTTATTATAATATAATAAGTCCTTTTTGTTGTAGTCACTGATTTTTCAATAAAACATAAACATTTTTGATAAGTCCCACTTGTTTTCTTTAATAATTTTACTATCCACATTCCCTCGACTCATAATATATTTAAGGAATTCCCATATGTCCCTCGCGTGCATCTTAAATTCAGTAGTTCTTACGTCCAGTTCAAAAAATCACATTATGTTTGAACGGAGTGGTGTCCTACATGTAGTGCACGGACGCCATGGCTAACTTCATAGTACCCTACATCTACTAACGGACAGTTAAAGTGTTAAGCTAAACTTGTATTAGACGATATCTGCTCCTTTTTTAAATTGAATATCTAACTTTTTAACAATAAAACTCATTTTGTTTAATAACCCTTCAAGCGCCATAAAAATCCCATGCAGTCGCATGCACCTAGCAAATCCCGAACGGATCGCATGCGACCGCACCCATCCACAGCACTTAAATGAACGTAGATTATAAATAAATATTCATAAGATAACTTTTTTTTATTGCACTAGAGGATAGAGTATTTATATTGATTATATAATGCCAAACTTCTTAATAGTAAAGTAGTCTCTATATCAAAGCTTTTATGGGTTAAAGTGCTGTGGGTGGGCGCGACCTCATGAGACCGCTAGGGATTTGATGGAATATGGCCGAGGTCTCATAAGATCGCTAGGGGTTGAAAAGTTAATTGCTAATAGTGTTCAGTAACAGCTGTTACTATTTTTTATTTATGTAATGCATGATTATTCAAACAATATAATTTCCAAGCATCTTCATCATCAGAAAAACGTTCAACGCATATTTAAGTTTAAGGAACCAAAAAAAATTAAGGAAATGTCGTGTTTATGCCATTATAAAAAATAAATCAAATAGCCTGCTTAGTTACTGCCCTTTCTTTACGCAGATGTCTTATCAACTCTTGCAATTAGGGTGTACAATGCAAATTGCGGACGAATATTTTTATACGGACCAAAATAATGCACCATTTTTGATAACGCAATATTATTTTCTTTAGAACTGATTAGTTATTAGAATTATGGTGCACATACACGAATCAACTTCCGGAAACTCGTTTAGCAAAAGCCACCATGTGCCTAAAAAATACTTGACCTTTTTTAGCGCCTGGTGAATACAGTTTTATTCAATAGAACAATCGGCTTAGTAAATCACGTAAAGTCGTTATTTATTCACACTAATTAGGCTCAGTACTCGACGAACCCGCCCTACTAGGGCGGGTTCGTCGCGTCTTCGGACCCTCAGTTAGACGTAATAACTGCCCTTGTGACTAGACGTTTTACTTTTTTTTGATATAGTACTTATAAGGGTGACAAACGAGCACACAGTCCACCTGATGGTAAGTGGATGCTGTGGCCCGGAGACATCTACATTTATCCTCGATTAAGAATAAAAACTTAACAGATACGTTGTCACCCCTGAGGACTAAAATGGAATGCGTCGTTTCCAGTAAAAAAGGGTCTCCGGATCTCTACACTCACCATACGAAACATTCTGTGAGGGCGTGGTCCTTCCCCAGTCGAGCCGACCCATTCGTGCTACAACAATAATATAGCTGCAGCGTGACTACCACGTGTAATTGCGTATTCGTGTTCATTTTCGATGTTCTTTTTTAATAAGTTAAGTCTAGGCTAGCTGTGTGCTCCTTCACTATTCTCCGACTATTTGTGTGATCAATCGGTTATGGCTGCTTTTACTAATGAAGAATATCGAATATATAAGAAATCGTCTTCATGTATGTCAGAGCTGACGATAATGGATCTTTGGCACGGCGAATGTATCAAGAGCGATATCCGAATCGAAGATTACTGAATGTCAGAGTGTTTTACAGCACATTTCCTCGGCTTTCTCAAGTTGGAATCCATCGCATGAAACAATCCGGAAAGCCATGGCCCTACCTAGGTAAGAATTTAAAGCTCGTATAACGTTACAAATAGCGGGTAAGATAAATAAAACTAAGCGGGTCTAACTATATAAATAAATAAGTATCTATTTACCTATGCGAATAAACTAACCAAAATTTAAATTTAAACTAAAACAAAACTACATAAATCTATCCAATATTAAATTAGAGTGTATTGTCCAAGGACTTGGTTCAGCAGTTCGACTCGATGAGGCTACAGGGCACATTCACAAGGAAGCACTCTTGGACCAACTCTTTTCCTGCTCTACGTTAACCATCTCTGCAACATAGAATTAGAAGGAGCTGATTTATTAATGTACGCAGACGACACTGTCCTGATATATCATCATCAGACTTGGGACGGTGTGCAAAAACTTACAGAGAGAGGACTGTGTGAAGTTTCGAAGGCTCTGGAAAATAGTCTGCTATCGTTAAACATAGAAAAGACGAAATATTTATGTTTCAGGATAACAGAGGCTACTAAACCCTCCAGCAGCTTTAAAGTCAAGATGCACACTTTCCCATGCAATACAATACCCTTACTTTCCTGGAAGACAATGTGGTTGTAAAGAACTAGAAATGGTTAAACACGTGCGATATCTAGGAGTGACAATTGTAGAGAAGCTAACTTGGAACCGTCAAATTTCAAATGTCACAAGTAGAGTAAGAAAGCTCATTTATATTTTTAAGAACCTAAGAGAAATTGCAGATAGCGACCTCCTCCAAAGCTCATTTATATTTTTAAGAACCTAAGAGAAATTGAGATGCGACCTCCTCCTATATGTGTACAAGGCTCTTTGCCAATCTGTCATAACGTATTGTATTGCAGTGTGGGGAGGTGCAGCGAAAACTCATATGCTGGGACTGGAAAGGGCTCAAAGAGCCATTCTAAAAGTGCTATGTCTTCTCCCTTTCAAATATCCCCCCCCACGCTTTGTATCAACACTGTAGGGTCCTCACTGTGAGACAATTATACTACTAATCTATAGTTCTCAGGTACCATAGGGAAGTTGTGTCGTCTTTGCAAACGTCTCAGAGAAGGAGAGAGGCATGTCCCATGGTACGGACTCGTACGGAGTTTGCAAAGCGCCAATATTACGCGTTGACTTCACGGGTGTACAACAAATTAGGTAATATTCAACATTTACGAAAATTTAATACCTATAAATTAAAGAAATATGTAGAGGACTTTATGTATAAATTAAATTACAAAGATACAGAACACATGATGGAAAGTATAAAGTGAAACGCACATAAGTACACATACACTCTTACACACACGCACACACACACACACACACACACACTCACACACACACACACACACACACACACACACACATACGACCTAAGAGTACACACAACATAGAAGCACATACACAATTTTTGTACACTGTAAGTAATATATTATATACAATATAGACAAGAGACATGAAGAGCATTGACCCCTGTAACATAGGCTTTCCTAGCACAGGAGTCAAAGATCACTGTTTGCACATTTCTTATTTTGTACCAAATGTAGTAAAATTGTAAAATTTTGAATTGTGTAACTTTTCCTTATGTGTGTGTCAATAAAATTATTATTATTGTGGGATATCAACATAGTTTTCTCATCTGGTTGGGTTCTATAAATATATAATTATAAATGAAAATGAAAAGATAAATATACATAAATATCAATAACATAAACTAAATATAAAAATAAATAAATAAATAAAAGCCCAACTGCAACTGCAACGGCAACTGTCGGGCGAGCACAGAGTAACACACCATGAACCCCTTCAGCCAGTAGTGATGCAGCCCGTCAAGCCCCGGACTTTTTCAATTCGGGGCCCCACGGACCGCCTCAGCTACGTCATCGGGTGTTATGATGACGGGGTCCATGGGCGTAATACCCGCACACTGACTCGCCACAACTTCCGTCCGAGGGCCGTCGCTGTGGTTTACGGGCTCTGACCACAGGCCGCGCCAAAATGCTACAGTGTCGGCCTGATTCGGTGCTGGGCCCGTTCCACTTACTATTGGTCGCTCCAATGATGCATAGAGCTTCTTCTGATCACTCTGGAAGAGACGATTCTGGTTGAACCGTGTCGACCTCTCGGTATATCGCCGAATCCGCTTTCCCCAAGCAGCGATTCTTTGCTTCAGATCATCTATGCGCTCCGTCAGTTTTTGCGTTATATCCGGCTGGGACAAACTGACATTTGTACCAGCAAACGCCATCCTGACGGTGCGCACAATTTTTGGCATGTTATTGCCTGATCTGAAGCATATCAGTCTGCCGATGAGAGCTCTAGCCTTTGGGATACGTTCCTCAATTCTTCTTCTCCATGCTGGGATAGCGCTACTATGGCCAGTAGCGCGTCCAGCCGTGGAAACCTTGGCGCCTATGATACGGCAGACTGCCAGCGCGGCGCCAAAAAGAATTGAGTCTCGCAAAGGTCCCGGCTGGCTTCCAAATAGGTCAACAGCATTGGGTTCAGAGCCCCCACGACAGCCCGCTTCCGCTTGCTTAGGGCTATGCGGGGAAGTCGCGGTCGATTTTCGAGAGGCGTACTGCGAAGTGGTGAGTAGTAGTAAGTGATGTGTTTGTACAGTAGGGCTACGATGACTATCCGAGTACAGAACCAGAGCTCGAAACCTATCCAACTGCAGAGAGGTGTAAGACAGGGTGACGTTATATCCCCCGAAACTCTTCACCGCTGCTTTGGAAGACGTTTTCAAGCTACTGGACTGGAAAGGATACGGTATTAACATCAATGGCGAGTACATCACTCACCTTCGATTTGCCGACGATATAGTCCTTATGGCAGAATCACTGGAGGACTTAAGCACTATGCTCAATGACCTCAATAGTGCCTCCCAACGGATAGGTCTTAAGATGAACATGGACAAAACAAAGATCATGTTTAATGTCCATGTCACACCTATGCCGGTAGTTGTTGGGAGCACTATGCTCGAAGTTGTTGACGAGTACGTTTACCTGGGACAAATAGTCCGACTAGGTAAGTCCAACTTCGACCGAGAGGTCAATCGACGGATTCAACTCGGCTGGGCAGCGTTCGGGAAATTACGACACATCTTCTCGTCAGGTATACCTCAATCTCTGTAAACTAAAGTGTACAACCAGTGCGTGTTGCCAGTGATGACTTACGGATCAGAGACGTGGTCCTTCACTGCTGGCCGTATGAGGACGCTCAAGGTCGCTCAGCGAGCTATGGAGAGGGCTATGCTCGGAGTTTCTCTGCGTAATAGACTCAGAAATGAGGATATCCGCAGTAAAACCAGAGTGACCGACATAGCCCAACGGATTAGTAAGCTGAAGTGGCAATGTGCCGAACATATAGCTCGAAGAACCGATAACCGATGGGGAAGAAAGGTTCTCGAGTGGCAGCCTCGTACCGGTAGGCGTAGTGTAGGGCGAGCCCCCACTAGATGGAGTGACGACCTGGTAAGATATGCAGGAAGTCGATGGATGCAGGTGGCTCAGGACCGTGCTTTGTGGCATTATTTGGGGGAGGCCTATGTTCAGCAGTGGACTTGTGAAGGGCTGTGATGATGATGATGATGATAAATAAATAAAAGCCCAACTAGATGGAAGCCCTCGGCAGGGGGAGACCAAACGGCCGAGAGTTAGGAGGAAAGGGAAAGAAACCGGCGGACGATGCGGGCGGTATCGAGGAGCACCGCCTTTTGCATTTGAGCCCGGAGCGGTCCGTCACGGAGTCCCAGTCGCCTCAGATGACCCGAGAGGCTGACTGGGATTAGCCCATTCGCAGAGACGACTACAGGAATAATTTCGGCCGGCAGACCACCCCACATATCGGTCACCTCGTGAGCCAGGTCCAGATATTTTGTTCGTTTATCTGTTTCGGCTTTCACGAGGCTCTCGACATACGGAATGGTAATGTCGATCAAAAATATCCTTGACTGTGCCCGGTCTTATTCGCAAGAATAGTCCTGTCTGTGATGATGGCCCGGTCCCAGTAGAGCCTGGCGCGGTCATTTTCGAGCACGGCTTCCGGCAAGTACTTATAATACGGCAATTTTCGGTCCACGAGACCGTATTTCAGAGCGAGTTCCTGGTGTAGAATTCTGGCTACTAGGTTGTGCCTGTGCAAGTACTCAGAGTTAGAAAGCGCCGAACAACCGGAGATGACATGCCTAAGTGACTCCCCGGGATGGCGACAAGCTCGACAGACGTCGACAGTGCCATCCTTTAGGATGTATCTCCGATAGTTGTTGGTCTTAATAACCTGATCCTGTATTGCACAGACAAAACCCTCAGTTTTCCCCGAAGAGGTCACCGAAACGTAGCCAGTTGGGGGAGGCGGCTGTATCTACGTGAGGCTCATGTAGAGCCCTGTAGTACCTCCCGTGGAGCTCCTTCTCCTTCCATACGGTCTCCCGGTCGGAAATGCTCTGTACTGCCGGGTCTTGCCATTGCTCGTTGGCTAAGGATAGAGGGTAAGTCCTTTATCACAAGAAATGACGTCATTATAGAATGGATCATCCGATCTCGCCAGGAAGTAATGACGTAGGTTCAGCCTCGGAAAGGGCCCTTAAGTTGACGGGCATAGATAAGTCTATGCCCTCAGAGTTAGCAACCCTTCCCCTTTCAACATGGAGGACCGCACAGTTATCCGTCCCCAGCTTCATTCTAATAGAATTGCTAAATTCACAAGTGATGTTTAGCAATTCCATAAGATGGGAGCGACTGGGGGCGAATAATTTGAGGTCATCCATATAGAAAAGGTGGGTCGCTTTTGTACCTCCTTTCCGAAGCTGAAATCCCCTCCCGGAGCCCTCCAGTAAAGTACTGATAGGGTTCAAAGAGAGGCAGAACCAGGTTGGACTCAGACAGTCGTCCTGGAATATACCCCTTCTTATCCTTATGCGGCTTTCCGCAGCCGTCATCCGCTCGCCTAGGTGACAGAGGATCGTACTCCACTGCCCCATACACTGCTCGAGGAAGTCTCGAACTGTACAGTCAATCTTGTACAGCTCGAGGACCCTCTTTAGCCATGTATGGGGCACCGAGTCAAATGCCTTTCTGTAATCTATCCAGGCGGCGGAGAAGTTCCGACGGTTGCGTTTTACCACTTTGCCAATGACCGCGTCAATGAGGAGTAGTTCCTTGGTTCCACGACCGCCGCCCCGACATCCATTTTGAGCGCGCGACATCACCTGATTTGAACCCAGATGACGAGCGATTCTCGCGCTCAAAATGGATTATATTATTATTATTATTATTTACGTATTCTTTTTTCTTTCTCAAGATTTTTGTAAAATCTCGGTTTTTAAGAGATATTCACGGGCCTAAGCCAAGTGCGCATCCATTTGGGAATCAAAATCCGAGATGTCTTCTTGCAAAAATTTTCGGACTATACGGCACGTGTTGAGGATGGCTGCTTTTTGCATGGTAATATAACTATTTTCAGGAAGATCTAATCGTTTAAGGGAGAGAGACAAACATTTCGGGATCACACCAGCACTGGAGAGAACCAGCGGTACAATATATACTTTGTTCATTTTCCAGATTCTAGTTACTTCTTCTTTTAATTCTGTGTATTTATGATTTTTTTCAGTAATGGATTTTTGTATATTATGGGTATTTGGGATCGCTATATCAATTAGATATACTGTTTTATTTAATTTATCAATTAAAGTTATATCCGGTCTATTGTAATGAATTGTTTTATCGGTAAGAATAGCTCTATCAAAGTACATTCTGTGACTGTCGCTCTCCAGAACAGGTTTGGGGGTATACTGATAGTACAGCAGTAGTTTTTGGTTCGGGATTAAATTGTATTTATTTGCAAGTTTTTGATGAACGTAATTAGCAACCTGGTTATGACGGTGGGTGTAATCAGTTTGTACTAGGCTGGGACAAGCACCGGTAATATGTTGTATAGTTTCGGGTTGGCGGTGGCATTTTTTACAACTATCGTTCTGCATGTTTGGGTCTTTTAATATGTATTTTTATAGTTTCTTGTATTGATTACTTGTTCTTGAATAGCAATAAGAAAACCTTCGGTTTCGGGGAAAAGAGAACCTATTTTTAACCATTTATTTGAAGCCATCAAGTCTATGTGAGGTTGTTCTAAATCGTGTGCATGTCTACCATGTAATTCTTTGCTACGCCACTTTGACAGCTTTCCTTTTTCATGATCAATTACTGTAGTAAATCTATTACCTTGATTACTTAGATTTACAGGGACATAATTCTTATCGCATTCAATGACTGCTTGATGTAACGGACTATTAGCTGATTTTTCATAAAAGAAAGATTGCAGGTTTTTAACTTTTTATTATTATATTGATTGATTTTTTATTATTATTATTATTATTATCTGATTTTATAAATACATAGTATGAATATAAATAGATGAACATCTGATTTTACTAGTATTACCGCTCATTCCAATACTAATATTATATTCCCTCGTCTAGAATATAGTGAAGTTATATTATTTGCCCTAGGAACATATCAGATTCAACAGGCCTATTATAGTGAACATGTCAGGTTACATGGAGGGTATCGAATTGAAATAAGCAGAGAAAACATTAATGTAATAGGGTATTGTTTGAGAGGAAGTGGACATAATTCACTCATAAGAGGCAAAATCAAATCCAGATCCATTTCCCGAAAAGTATATTATGTTTATACTATTAATTGAAAATAATGTGGTCTGGAAGGGAAGCTATAATAGAGTATTGCTGTAATTGTTTAGTTGGTAGAAGAACAGTTGGGTGCTGTGTGTACATGTTATGATGCTTGTGTGGTACCTTGGGTGGACCAGGCATCAGCCGACAATATCGCCAGTGCCAGCATCACTACTTGATGTTCTAGTTGTAAGATGATGAATAAAAAGTAATTTTGTCTAGCCTACTTATTTCATTAAAGTACTCCTAAATTCTACCATTACACTTCATTTACTCCCGTAACCTGCCATTACTCGATTTTTCAATACATATGCAACTTTAGTATTGAAGACTGAAAGACAGTAAGTATCTAGCAACTAACTCTCTTCAGCTGGAATTGAAATGGTCAACCTATAAAAAAGCCTTGAAATCTTTCAGGAAAGACTTTGTGTGATAATAATTACGTCATCTTTGTTTTTTTTACACTTCATACTGTGCATGCTAGTGCAATATATGTAGGTGTAGTTTTTATTGAATTATCGGTCATAGTTGGTCGTCGAAACGGTCAACTCCACGAGACGGTTTGACATACGGCGCTTTTTGAC